GCCTGTCTCGGCCAAGGCTCTGTGAAAATGTTTTGTTGGATGGGACAGTGACAATATTGCTCTATTTCTTGTAATGCCTTTTAGCTTTCCCTCAGAGCAATTATGGGATCATAGAAAAACTGAATCCCCATGTAGTTTATGGGCCAGTATAACTTCAGAGGCTAAGAAGGGTATCAATTTGGTTATGTGTCTAGGATGAATACTTGACATGAAGTGAATTTCTACTTACAGAATTCAATTATCAACTGACTACAGTACATGATCAGTCTACTAGGAGATCAAACAGCAAAAAGAACAATGCCATAACTCACACCATTTCTTAGATCTTATTACAGAAGATTTTTATTAATTAGAAATGCTAGAAACAGTGTTACATATTAGAGGTTATTTTCCTGTTACAGCACTCAGTTGTGTAAATCCTTACGCTTTCATTTAAGGTATGACAAGTCATGCTGGCCTCACTGAGACAAACTGGCTGAACAAAAGTTTTGGTTCACTACTACTGTACTGTTTTTTATTGAACATCAGTCCCTGAAGCCAAAACATGTCCAAGAGGTATGACAAGACAGTAAGAAGAAATTTACCTCTGAGAGTGTTCAGGCTGCATTGACCCTAGCACATTTTTTCTTTTTTTGCTTATTCTTTCCCTTTTCAAAAACACTTATTAATCATGAGCAAAATATTGAAAGAACTGGACCGTGGGTTTGTCCTCCAGGCTTTATACCCTCACTTTCTGAAGGGCCAACTTTTCTTAAGTTTTCAGTGCCACTCATCCACATGAAATAAGAATTTTGGCATCCTGGCTGGAATTTGCCTGAGGTGGGACTTGGACAATAACCTGAGGTTGCTCAGGATGATTTTGTCGAAGATGCCTACTTGCTGTCCTTGCTTTGCCAGTAATGACAAAGAGGCAAGAAGAGGGTAGGGAAAAACTTGGCTTGCATCCACAGAGATACACAAAATACACATGATACTAATCATCATTTGCTTTTATGTTGTAGGGTGCATGCCAGCTCATGATGGATATGGCTTTGCATTCATTTGATGACCAGTATCTAGGGTGCAGAGAGCAGGTGATGGAAGAACTGGAGAGAGGAGACTATTTCCAAAAGGAAATAGTTGCTAACAAGGACTATTTGAGTCTCTGGAAGAAGGCTCAAGAGGCTTTGTTAAAGAGCCCTGTAGGTCTCCTGAGGGAGATGCAGGAAAGCCATGCCATAGCCCTCATGGCTTACACCATGAACTCTTCCCGGCACTCTCAGCTGAACTGGGCCACATCTATAGCAGGAGCTATAGCACTACAGACACAACTTCAGTTTCAAATATTTTCACTTTTACCTGACAACTGCTACTCAGATAATGAAGCTATGGCAGAGCAGCAAGGAGAGCACGGGGAAATGTAAGTGCTACCAGGTGCACAGGGGTGTAAAAGACTTGTATATCAAAGCCATGGAAGGCAACAAGGTGCTATTTGGCCGTTTCACCTCCACCTCCCGCCTCTGGAATGAATCTCAGAAGTTTGGGAATGAAACTTTGTTCACAGTGACCACTTGCCTAGGAGCAGCTATGCAAGGCTTTTCTTACTACATATCTGAAAAGGAAGTCCTCATTCCCCCTTATGAGACATTCCTTGTCAAAAGCTTCTCTCAGACACAGCACGATAACCGGCTGCATCTGCATTCTGTGGGGACCTACAGCAAGTACCACTGCCATCTCGTGGAAGGTACCGCAGACGGATGTTCATGCGGGCGGGAGCGGGACAGTGTTTCCAAGGTCCCCAAGCAGTCCTCGCCAGCTGCACCTACACGGGTCCCCACCGAAGGCCAAATCTGTAGCTGTGTTCACCTATGAGAGCCACATGACACAGGTTTTTACTTGTTTGTCATGAAACCTGGGAGCACATCACAGTTCACCTGATACACAGAAGGTTGCAGGGCTCTTTGCTACTTCCATTTATCCCATCTGCCATTGCAGGGATGTCATAGGACACATGCATTTGGGTCCCCAGCATTCCTATTGCAAAGGCGGATGAGATTTGCAGGCAGCCTGAATTCAGATATTTATTCTGGTGGCTTCCAAGGCTGCTACTCTTCAGGCCTCAGGATTGTTCTGGGCTTTGGTCTACTGCTACTCTGGCAAGCTGAGGAAAGCGCAAACAAAACTACCATTGCTTTAGTGGTGTTTTCTCTCCTGTGACAACAGGGAGGAAAGGTATCCTTTGGCAATGCACATACATAGTTTCCTGGCTATAGAGCTAACTCCATGCTGGAAGACCTCACTGGGTCTGTTCCAGTTAATGAATACACCACCAATACCCTTGCGTTTGTCTCTTTGGACAATAGTGTGTCAATGCAACCTTAGAGCACAAAATAGTTATTCAGGAGTCAGAGTTTGTGCCCGGACCTAAGCCAAAGTAGTAGATTGACTTGAAAAATGGCTCTTCTGGGCAAAGCTTGTGTTAGCAAGTTCAGGAAGCTCTAGGCAGCAAAAAAAGGTCAAAATGACTGCTCTCTTGGCTTTATTTCAGCTTCAAGAAGCAAGAACAGTGGTTCCACTGCCCTCACCTCGGCCATTCTTCCTAGTGTAGTTGGAGTTTTCATGTGCTTGGCACACAGTGACTGATTCTCTGGCTGCATCTAGATATATGAGCTTGAATGGCAGGTGAGAAGAATTACAGGAAATCAGACTCTGGAGTTCCTGTTGCTACAGAAGGTTCAACCCTCCCTTTGCTTTCAACTGCAGCTCTCCAGCTGAGACTGTAACATTCAGCCTGGCTCATGAAAGGATACATTCCTTGCACCTTTTCAAGTAGGAGGGCAGTTACCTATGGCCTTTCTGAAGAATAGATCAGCAATACTCTTCGCTGTATGTAGTTTTTCCCGTATGCATTCAGGAAAGACACACACAGACTCTGGATTCTTTGCAGATCTCTTTGTGCCTTTATTTTTAGTGAGAAAGAGTCTGTCTGTGGGGTGCAAAAGGCACTTAAGGAAGTTTTATGTCTTCATATTTTAGCAGATTGAATGGAGGAGTTTGAGGCTCAGCATCTTGTGTATCAGATTTAGGCATCTGTAATGGATGAGGCCAACATCTAGTGATCTGAAACATAGTAACATGTTCTGTGAAACTGAATTACTGACCCTGAAATCCTGAGACATGGTTGCCTAGGCAGCCAGAACAGATTCAATGCAGAACTATTTTACCATTAACTTGTTTTCTGTGTGTCATGTTACTTTCCTGTTGCTGTTGTTTCACCAGTTATTTGAAATCATAAGTTGTTAGAACTTGATGTTGACCACTAAATGCTCAAAGATACTAAGCCCAGATTTCAAAAATAAAAACACTAGAAACAGCTGCTGCAGATACTTCTTTTATGTGTGTTCAGACATGCTCAGACTCTTTCCCATGTGAGAATTACAGGAATCAAGATGGATTTCTGACACATCAACACATTTATAGTTCTTGCTTCTCTTTTATCATGTGGATGCAGGCTTCAACCATTTTGACAAAGATTTGGAATCTTTCACAAGGTGGTCTCAACACCCTGAAAGCCTCTTCTAAGTAGTCAGCTGCTGTTTTCAGGCTTTTCTTTGTGGATCTGTGTCCTTGAAGGATAGCCTGTAGGAAAACAAGAAGTGAAGAGAAGGATGATACAGAGCGAAGCCTGAGCGGTTGTGGTGGTTCATCTGAGAAGAAGCTGTCTTCTGTTGTACTTGGTGCCTCATTTTCTTGCAGCATCTTCACAATATCAGCATAATCCATGAGAAGTTCTGATACTTGGAGGGATAAGGCAGGTGAACTCAATAACTGATGCATAGCAAACTCTACTGTGTCAGGGAAATTGTCATGTTTCAACATCACTGCAACGAGAACACCCATGATGCTTTCTACTGTCTCCTTGTATTTCTCATAAAGTTCCTTTACCGCAGTGATCTTGTCCTGCAGGGAGGTGATGGGACCAGCAATCCCAGCATACAAACTTTGGCTGATCCTTTCATGTACATCTTTGTCTTTTGATTCCATGTTGGCTTGCATCTCTTTCAAAGCACTGACCAGTAACTGTAGATTATCTTTAATGCTGAAGTTTTCTTTTACTGACATGATAGGGAAGTTGGTGCCAAAATTTCTGTTGAGGAGTCGGAAGATTGTGTTGATGCAAGAGACATAGATGTACACTAAGTCATGAAGATTCTGGCAGGCCCTGACCAGCCTTTCTTTATCATTCATTAAACCAAAGCGGGCTAACATTTCTGGAGTAGGATCTGACTCTGAAAAACAAAGGAAATACAGAAGACACAGGGGAATAAAACTACATATATTGTTATGAATTAATTTTAGTTAGCTGAATTCTTTTAAATGTGTTCTTTTGACTGGTGGTTTTGCTTAGCTATACTATATAGCTATGTAAGTATGTAATGATACGTACTATATACTATAGTATATACATACTATAGTATGCATATATATATAAGTATGTAACTATATATATAGCTATATAGGTAATTGTTTAGCATAGGAAGCTAAAGTTTGCTGGAGCCTTTGGCTAAAAGCAGCTAACTCCGACTTAGATAAAGCCGAGCTTAATTTACAACCTTTGCTTAGTTATGTAAATGAAGGCCACAAGACCATTGCAAATTGGTAGATAAAGGAGTTGAATCCATTAGCAAGGAGCAACAGAGAGATAAATAACGTATGGACCTCCTGGAGGTAATGAAAGAACCCAGTGATGGACAAGGGGACCCCAGACCAAAATTCAGTACTGGGCCAAGAGGCACATGCAAGGTGCATAGATTGAAATGGTAGAAAACCCCAGGAATTTATTTTTTCTCAGTCCCTCCCTAGAGACATCCAGTCTTAAGCTGCTCTTATTCCTGTAACACTCCATTAACAAATTATTTATCTAAGAATCAGAAGTCTGAGGCCGTGCTTTGGGAAACCTAGAGCAGAAAATTTTCTTTAACAATATTTTCAGATAGAATGTTATATTTCTGAAACCAGTATTACCAATTTTCTATCCATCTGACCCTCCCTTCCCCAAAATGTTAGAAGAAAACACAGAAACAGGTCTTTATCAGCCTTTGTAGGGTCTTACCAAGCAGGCCAGCAAAATATGGTGTAAACAGCAGCAACTATTCTTACTCTTATGGCTGCAGAAAGTTGTGTCTCTGACCTTCAGCATGTAATCTGGAAAGGAATGCAAGTGATGTAAGTGAATTATTATTTTCTTTTGGTGTTTATTGGTAAATTTATGGGAGTCCTAACAAACAATCTACATCATTCTTAGAACCATAATCTTTCAGTTTGTATATAGAATCATAGAATAGTTAGGGTTGCAAAGGACCTTAAGATCATCAAGTTCCTACCCTCTGCTATGGACAGGGACACCTCACACTAAACCATGTCACCCAAGGCTCTGTCCAACCTGGCTTTGAACACTGTCAAGGATGGAGCATTCACAACTTCCTTGGGCAACCTGTTCCAGTGCCTCACCACCCTAACAGTAAAGAACTTCTTCCTTACATCTGATCTGAACTTCCCCTGTTCAAGTTTTAACCCATTACCCCTTGTCCTATCACAACAGTCCCTAATGAAGAGTCCCTCCTCAGCATCCCTATAGGCCCCCTTCAGATACTGGAAGGCTGCTACGAGGTATGGTGGATCTATGCAGAATTCAATTCGTATTGTTGGGAGGGGGAAGTAGACACAGCAAAATCAAATGCATCAGACATCTACATTCAAGTGACGAGACTGAAGACTGAATAATACAATGTTTTGTCAGGCTACAAGTTCCTGTGAAGTGACCGATATCTGTCGGTTCATATAGCAGCTAGATGTTGCAAGCATCCTTTGACAGGTAGAAGCACAAAACATTCCCTTTGCTTGGGCTCCCACCTTGCTACTATTTTGACTGCTAGGGAAGTTATGTCCTTCTGCTTGCACCCAAGAGCTCCCTCAAGGCCAACTGTAGGTATAGTCCTGGGACATTACCTGGCTGAGGACTGCTCCTGATGTTGACTTTGCTTGTGCCAGAGCCTTGAAAAGCCAGACTGGTTGCAGAAGATGCGTTTGTTTCATCACCTATTGTTGTGGTTAGGTGTGTCCAAGCAGCTGAAATTTCCCAACTCACTTCATACTTAAGAATTTTCTCTCAGTGCTCAGCTCAGCCCTCTGTCTCTTCCTTCTTTCCCTTTTCATGGTAAAAGGGGTATGAAATTGTGTGGAATGGCAAAGATTTTAACCTCCACTGCTGTTTAGCCAGAGGTGGCTCTAGGGCTCCGCACAACTTCCATTCTCATGGCATCAGAGGACCTGGCAAACTGCAGCAAAGAAGGGTGATAACATCCCCTTTCAGCCATGGCTAAAGGTACCTGTGCTGATACCTTTGTTGTAGGCAGGGGGATTCATACTGTACCTGTTATCTCCAGGAACAAAAGGCTTTTGGAGGATCTAACAATTGGGAACTAACATTAAATAAACTGAAATTTGTTCAAATTGGAAGGGGGCAGGAGTAAGCAAATGAGATGAATCTGGGTAAACACCACACAATAGAATTAATGATGAGCAGGCAGGCAACAGGACCGAGGTGAAGCCCAGCCTCTGGATCCCTAACTCATCACATGCTGCTGGAAACCACCAGAGGAACACACAGGAAAGAGGATGAAGTCACTGTCCCATACACGTTTCAGATGATTGCAGGAGCACTCAGCCAAAATCAGGTAGGCAGTCTAAATGTTTAATTAGAAAAGCTTCAAGAGAGAATCTCCCTGGAGCTGGAGAAATAGTCAGAAATACAGAAATATATGCGGCTTTCCTAACTCCAGAAAGCAAATGTAAAAATTCTCACATGTTAATGTGAACAGTAAAAGGTGCTTTTAGTATTAAGAGACATAAAACCTAGAGCATTTACAGAAGCTGAAATAATTATGCATAAAGAATAGATGCTAAAAAGTCTCCTCCACACCTGTCAAATACGTTAAATACTTGTTGAAGTCCAGTAACTCTTAGAACATTTTATCTTCTCAGTTTCTACAAATAAGGTAAAACAAATGACCTTTCAACAAAGCATCACTCCAGCAGAAAGTATCTAATACCACACTGAGTCAGAGAGCAAGTCAGCAACATCCCTGAGGCAGGACTGGTATGAAATCATACCTTGCACTGACATGGCTTTATGTTTCCTGAAAATCTCAAACCTTTCCTATATGTTTACTTTGCTCCCTCTAGCTTGAAGAAGAAGAAAAATGTGTTAAAGAGTTTATTCTCTTGACAGAGCTGCAAGGTAAGTGGCTGAAAGAAATGTACAGCACTGTGTAAAATATTGTGGAAAAAATTACCTTCAGACAGGCTTGTATTTCAACAGAGACAGAAAGCTGGCTGGGGAACTGTTGAAATCATTCTTGTTTTCTAAATGGATCTTGTGGGGGGAGGGTGTGTTTAGTAAAATACAGCTGGGTCACTGTCAGATCATTTACAGTTAGCAGTTAATGCAAGAACTACAAAGGACCAAAATGACATCAAATTATTGTTTTAAGAATAAAAATCTAGCTAGTACCCTACACATACCTATTTGAAGTTATAACTATGATATGTAGGCACCAACAGCAAGAGGAGGTTTATCTTGGAAATATGTGAAGCACTGCATAAAAGTGGCCCAGATTTGCAATAAGAAGGCTGAGAAAAAAGTGCCAACAAAGAAATGAGTCATCCTGCTCATTCAGTATGTCCCTGTTGCAAAGTAAAACATATGCATTCAAGTCAAAATCATGCTAAAGCATGATTACTTTGCAGCTGGTGATGGATTAAAGGGAAATGGCATGAAGAATGACTCCATGATCACAGGTAATTCGGTTGCTTTGGACTCTGTATATTGACATGAAAGTAACGAAGAAAAATGCTCTTTTGCTGGCAAACCAACGACAGCTCAGAGAATGATGACCATAAGGGCTAGACACAAGTGTTTGCAGGGGGAGGAATCAAACTAGTTAAGTTTTGTGCTCTGGCCTGTACAGTGATAAGGAAGAGTCGGATTCTGCTCAGTCATGTCTTAAGAGCCTGGTGAGCATTTGCTGATACTGGCTTCATCCAGGACTCTCTGGGAATGGAGGGAGTGTGGCTGTGCAAGCAGGGCTCTCCCTGCAAGCCAGTGCTTGCTGCTCCAAGGCCATCTGCCAGCAGAGACATCCTGCTGCAGTAGGTGCTTCATTGGCATGCTGAACATCAGGTGCTGTCTGCAGTGTTCGATGTTCACAAGTGAGAAAACAATGGTGAATTGATTACAGCATTAGGGAGGTGAATAAACAATGAGGGAACAGGGGCTAAATATCAGGGAAGGAAATACAGTGCGAGATGTATGCTAGATGATACAGGTTATGATGGGTTTATTATAGATATTGTTACTATTTTCTATGAATTACCAAGTGTGAATTTATTAGTATAAGAACAGAGGGCTTATATGATACGTGGATAGACTCCACAACTCATTAAAGTTGTAAAGTAGGTATGCTTTATTCAGCTGAGGTGCATGGGGGATAGTTCTCCAAAGGCATGCGTGCCCCAGCGTCGTTTTCCCTCTACATTTATTCTCTAAAGTGTTACATATGCAATAAGTTACACAACACGCCTATACATATTCATATCCTTTCCCCACTGCATATTATAATAAGCTAAAGCCTCCTTCACACCTGCGCAGTGCCTCCTGGTGGTCGTGGGCAGGGGTCTCGAAGTAAATGAGTCTTCCTCACTCTTGAACTTTTCACCTCTGTCTTGCACACATGCTCACTAGTCCCCTGGCTTTGGCTCAAACAGCAGTTCCAGTCTCAGCCAGGTCTTAACCAGATGTATGGTGTTGCAAGTGCAAACTTTGACCACCAGTTCCCCTTATCTGATGTTCTTTCCTTTCTTACACAAGTTTACATTAAACACCAGCTGCACTTTTAGACAAATACTTACTGTTAACTAAAGAGATTGAAGATAATCAGAAGAACAACATAGGTTTAACATTCGGTTATTAATTCAGGCCCTCTATCATATATACTAACATTTTCTCTTGAATGTGAAGAGAAATAAGCTACACTGGCATAAAACACCCTTATGGTGATAAAGATTGTGCCTACTCCACCAGTCATCATAAAAATCAGATGCCACTAGCTGAAAAGAAAAAAAAAAAAAAAAAAGGCTGATACAGAGGTCTGTCTAGAACAGGCCTTTCCTTTGCACAGCTTATTTTAGATTCTGCTGATTAAATGAGACTGTTCTGGTTTTTAGTGAGCTAGTTCAGCTTCTACCAACTTCAGTTTCTAAGGGGAAGAATGACCCATATTCATTTTACCAATTTGCTAATTGCTTATATGGAGCTATTTTTATTGCTCCATATTGAGCAATATATGCCATGCCTCATAAGGTCCTTTTCCAATCATTTGGTTAGAGATCTGAAGATCTTTAGATCTGAAGAATTAAGATTTTTACATTTACAAGCTATGCCTTGGGATTTGAATCGCTGAGTATAGAAAGAACCAGTAAGACAGAGGCAAAGCACACTTCACTGCTCTGTAAGGGCTAGGGTTATGGGTGTTGAAGAGAGTAATATATTTCTTTTGTCTCTAGGGTTATGGGTGTTGAAGAGAGTAATATATTTCTTTTGTCTCTTGAAGTAGCTTATTCTAAAGAATGGCGCTGAGTGACCTCCTTTACCCAGATAACCCCAAGAGAAGGCAAGAATTGATCCATCTGCACCAGGAATTGCTTGATTGCATGTCCACAAATTTCCGTGCAACAAATGAGCTGGCTAGAGTGCTGAATGAACACCTGGGCTGTACTATTACCTACATTCGGATGAGGGAGAACAGCACAGTCAAGGAAAATTGTGACATTATCATCGAAGCAATGAGTGAGATTCAGCATCAGGTACAGAAGATTGATAGTGACCTGAAGGAAAAGCTAGAGCCTGTGCTGTACCAGAAGCTGTATGACATCAAAGAGCCTGAGCTGGAGAAAATAGCAATAGCCCATAAAGTTTTTTCCATTGTACTTGGAGAAGCGACTTCAACAGCTGGAATGGTAGCTATCAAACTTCTCAGCTCCAATTTTTTAACGCTCACTGTGAGCAAGCTCGTCAGTCTCCTTGCGCAGATTGGGGCATCTGTTCTTGGGGGAATCAGCATCACTATTCTCGGACTCGGCATCGAAATGATTCTTCATGCCATTCTGGGAGCCATGGAAAGGAATCAGCTTCTGGCAGCTGTGAGAAGCTATGAGAAGCACCTGGCTGAGTTTAAAGCAGCCTCGGAAAAGTATCGGTGTGCCATACATGAAGTGACTTCTTTGGTGAGACAGCAGGTCCAGTGAATGAAGTCAGAGCTCTCTCTCCTGCTGTTAGAGTGGCTGCAGCAATTACACCCACAGAAGCCTTTTTGATTCGTTACGGTAAATGAACTACTGATGGCTTTTTTTCTTATTAGTGGCAAGAGAGCAAGAGACCAGGGAACTGGCACTGAAATATATTAATAAGGAACCGGCTTATAGATGCTTCTGGGAGGTAGCACTTCAAATATGTTGCAACTTTTCTTCAGCTATTTTCTGGAGTGCATTGTAGATAACCTTGAACTGTAACTTATACTTGTGACAATACTCCTCACTGCTGGAGTAGTGCTGAGAAGGTGTGATTTTTCTCCTACTGTGTTTCTGTATCAAGGAGGACAATATGGTGGGAGAAAACAATTTCAGCAAGCCAGTCCATATCATCATCAGGATGGCTGGCTGCTAAACTCAGACTGTGGATTAGTGCTAAATCTGGTATGCTCAATTCCATGTTTGTTGGACTGCTTACAAGGACTAGCTGAAGCATATTTAGCTGCTATTTCCTGTCCCATCCCTGCCTAAGAAGCTAGACAGAGGTCTTCTTTAAATAAACTCTAATTCCAGTAGATTAGCAGGTAAGAGAAGCATGGGCCTACAAGCAAACACACACAATCTTGCCACACAACTGAGATAAACCAGCTGTAGTGTTCCAGGCTGTGAATGACCTCTTATTCTCAGCACTGCCCTGCTCCTGCCAACTTACAGGTAACTATTCTGGTGCACAGTTGCTGCTTTGTTGATTAAAATGGGATGCTAAACATGTACAAGTATCTGTAGGATTACAGGCCTATTAATGCACCAAGTGCTTTATTTTGAATCTTCACCAGTGTGGGACTGCCAACAGTGTGCTTAGATGCTGCATTTCACAATACGCTACCAAATGTCCTTATTTTTCAGATTTTAAAAACAAAGCTGGAAGCAGGAACATCACTTGCAGTCTCTTGCTCTGATTTGCTGTGGTTTGCTTTTTTTTTTTTTGCTTTGATCTTTGGAAAAAGAAGAAAAAAAGTAATAAAAGGATGAATAAAAATGTACCTGATTATCGTAAACCCTCTTTTTCCTTTAATGGTTTGTTTGAGGTTTTTTTATGTTCTGTCTGAAAAACCATCTTAAACCAATTAATGAAAAAAGATTAAAATCTTCATTATAGATTCAATTTATGTTTATAACCATGATAGACTAATCTAGTAGGATTGTGTATAGGATCCTTTTTTGGTATCAGCTTCCCCCATACTAAAAGCATATCCAAATTCATACATGTTTATTAATATTCAATATTACCAATATTATGCATTATATTGATAACTAGATTGTGCCTGTGAAAGTAGAGAGATGAGTGAGATTACAGCAGGGAAACTCTACATTGGCTTCATAACACTTTCATTCTGGGTTGTTTTTTTTTTGTTGCGTTTTCTCCCTTTCCCCCCACTGTTCCCACTTTGATTATCTTTTCTGACTCCTCTTTGCTTTTGTGTTCAAAAGCCACTAGATGTCAATGCAGCTGCTGGCTATGAAGCAGCTCTGCCAGCTCTCAGGGAGAGAATCCAGGGTTCAGGAGTATGGATGGATAGCAGAGACTGACAAACTTGGACCAGCACAAGCCATGAATTGGGCAATGTGGGCCAAGAGATGCAATTCAGAGGAGGCAAAAACCACTGCCTTGCATGAGGCATTGTGGTGGATGACATGGTGACCTGAGGCATCATTTCTCCAAAATGTGACATCTCCTATCTCCTGACACAAGTGGCACTCAGTTTAGAGGTACTTGTTTAGTGGCAAAAGACTGCCAATCAGCAGAACAGTGATGTTTAGGTGTTGGAGAGGCAGGAGTTGCTGGCTTCTGCTGACTTCCTATGTAAAAATATACATTCTAATTTAGGAATAAAACCCACCACCTCATTACATATCGTTATGAGATTGACAATCACCGCTGAATAAAAATAGTAGGGTCAAATAAAACAAATCTGTTGTACTTTTCAGGTAGTTTGCTGACATTTTCTTGAAAGCAAATTCTAAGTGATGTCAGGAAGCAGGACACATAATGAGGAACATAAAGATATACACTATCTACTCACTTCTTGTTCCTGGTGGACTTAAAGGAATTCTGGCTTTCCCACAACAGCAGGTGTGGCAGATGTCCTCATGCCCATGAGATGTTGGAAGATGTTGAAGATGTTAGAGGCTGGTGGGAAGCAGCCTGTCCCTCTGTTTACTGGGCCAGCTTCTCCCGTCACCTATGAGAGCCACCTCTGACTTCATAAAGGCGTACAGCAACATCCAGCCACAACAAGATGGTTTTGAGGTAAAAACCTACCAATCAGCTTGGAACTTTCCAAAACTCCTTCCCTGAACTCTAGCAATAAGACAGTCAATGGGATATACTTGCATTACCAACCGTTACGTACTTGAACTGAGTGCAGCATGCATTTAACTGGCTAGAGGCAAGGAAGAGCACCCACTGGAGCAGGAACAGCTTAGCTCCATAACTGAAACTCTGTCCCACAAAATAAGAGGTAGCTCCTGCCCTCTCTAGCCCTCTGACCAGTCTTGCATTTGTCCCCAAAAAATGTCATAACCAGTTTGCTGATGCTGCTCCTGGACTTGTGGAACTGCTCTTGAGACTTCCTGGAGCTGCCTCTTGGTGTGACAGAAGTGCCAAGTAAAAAATATGAGAGGACAATTGCCCTCCAAGTCAGCAGACACTCCTGAGAGAAAGTAGTGTCTTAGGGTTGATGCAGTACCACTGAGCCCAGTATTGTCATGACAGAAGACCCCGAGCCTTGTGAGGAGTGGGCAATCTTCAAAGCCTCAGCTGTCTCCCCCTCCAGTGACATCATACATGACAGGGATGTATGTAGCATTCCCATCACACCACCTCAGGCATTCTCCTTCTGCACAGTCTATTCTTCTGGACAAAAGATTAAGAGTTAAAATTGTATGATATGTGTGTTCCAAACAAGAACAGCCCTCAAGAAGAAAAGAAACTGTAAACGAGCCAAAAGCAGTCTAAGATGCTTTTCAAACCTGTGTAGAAACACTGCGGTTGCAACCAAACTCTGCGCTGCAGTGAAGTCTTTCTGGTAACAAGAACAGTATAGAAGAACAGGCCAAAGAGGCACAAGGAGGGGATGACTCTGCTATATACATGGCTAGGGAGGCTCCCCAGACACCGAGAGCTCCTGGAGCCCTGGCTCTTTGGATGTTTCTAGGCTGGCCACCTTCTAACTTGGACTCTGCAGTTTACAAGTAATGTTGGTGTTAATGCCAGACATAGGTTATAACCTTGCTTTTACCCACCCTGCAATGATTCTTCATAAAGTTCCAAGTTTGTCAGCTGAGCCTCTATTATTTGAAAAAGTTCAGCAACATTGTGTTGCATGGCACACTCACCAAGGGGTCTACAGGGGGGCTACAAATCCTGCTCAGAGATCAGAACACCTCTGCACCCAGGTGTATCTGTGCAGAGAAAAATGCCCTTCCTACACCTCCCCTCGGCATGTTAAGTCTTTAAAACTGCACCCATGCTTTATTGTTTGCCCCCTCCTTATTCACAGTGGTGTAACTGGTACCCGAAGAAACCGTGTATCTTTATCCTCGTTCTTCATGTGCCCAGGGATTTTTTCTCGGAGTGGCACTTAGGGCAACAAGGCAGAACAGCTCTTACCCAGGGCTCACCAGTGTAAACTTATCATTTTACCACAGGGAATGTTGCAGGAAATGACAGCTAACAAATTAGCTTCTGTGGTCCCTGCCGGGACCAGACCACCTCTCCTGTTCTCTGTACAGCCCGATGACCGTCCTCCCGCCACTTGGCTTCAGCAGTCCCTTCAAACAGCAGCTGGCATATCAGCCCAACAGAAGGATGCAGCAGCGCTGCCTTCAGGCCAAACCCAACAGGAAACGCACAGAACACCTGAGATAGACGAACTGCTCCCTCGGCACTTTGTCTTTATTTCCCAGAGGCTCCTCGCACACCCCCCAGCTCTGCCTTGCTTCACAACCCGGAGGCATTCTGTAGGATCTCCTCAGGAGAGCGTGGGGGAAGAGTGCCGCAGTGACCACGGCCACGCCCTCTGTCCCCGTAATATACCTAGCAGCGGCGTAGCATCTTCCCTCCATAGCTCTCCCTTGACCCGCTCCCAGAGTCCGGCGGGGCGGGCAGGGAGTCCCCCGTCCCCATTCCCGCTCCCGATCCGCCGCCTGAGCAGCCCAACGGCCCCGCCGCTCACGCAGTTCCCTTCTCCCGGCCCCGCCCCCGGCCCAACCATAGAGCCGCGGAATCATAGAGCGGCGGGTAGCACGTGAAAGATCCCGCTTCCGGAGCGCGGGTTCGCGCCGCGAGGTGCGGCAGTCGCGCTTTACGGCGGCGTGCCGTTCGGTCCCCGTTCAAGATGGCGGTGGGGCCGCGGCGGCAAGGAGGGAGGCGGTAATCAAGGCCGCTGCGGCAGAACGGAGCCGGGTTGGCCTGAGGGGTGAGAGGAGCGGGACGGTGCTGAGCTGGGGAGGGGGAGGAAGCGAGAGGAAGGCGACGTTTTGCGCTACCGCCTTTTTTTCCTCCGTCGGGGGAGGAGGGGAGGCTTTCGTGTACCTCATGGGAGGCTTACTGCCTCGTTCCTCTCTGCACCCCAAATTCATAAATTCAGTGGTGTTTTTTTTTTTTGCTTGTGTGTTTCTTCTTTGGCGGTTAAGTTGCAGCACTGAAGCTGTTTGCTCTGTATACTAAAAGGATTAGGGATCGAGATTTCAGAATTTTATTCTCTTCACCTTTACCCTTTAAATGTTAGAAATACGGGAAATACGGGGTACTGTTTTCTGGCGAGTTTCCCGCCGTGGGGTGCTCTTGCAAACAGCCAGGCAACTGCACATAGCCTTGTAGTAGGAGCCATGAGTAGTGCTCTGTAGGGTTTTACTAGTCAGAACATTGAATGTGATCAGTTCTTGGAGCTTGCTAGCAGCCCTTTTTTGTGAGGCCTTGATGCACTAAATAAGGCACAGTGCTTACATTTCTTTTTAAGGGGTAAGGAAGGGCAGGCATGTTGTTTAGTGGCTTGAAAACGGCATCTGTGTGGAAGAAGGGTGCATATGGTGACTGCAGTGAGCCTGCAGAGAACTTTGGACTAAGCTTGTGAATACTTTCATTATGGTCGTGATCTATTTAGATTCAGTATGGTGACTAGAAAGGTGGATTCCACCAACTCCCAAATTTCAGAGGGTGTTTTAGATTTTTGGGGTGGGATCTATTGAGATCTGTCTGTAAACTGAAGAAATGTCTGAAGACAGGAAATAATTCTTCCCAGAATCACCTTTTCTCCTGATCCTCATAACACAGTTTGAAATAATACTGATAAGAGTCAGAAAGCGTAAGAGCAGTGGCATAGCAACAGCATATGGGGAGGAGATGGCAAGGATGTCTGTAGAACACTTGCTGATGGACATGGTGGGTGCTGAGGAGGGAAATTAAGGGCAGCTTAAAAGTCTTGAAGAAAGGAGGAAATTTGTGGGAAGCATCTGAAATAGAGAGGAATGGGAAGGCAAACATTGGAGAGCTCTCATGAAAGTAAATGAAAAGCTAAAAGGGCCCTTACAGTGCTCTTATAAAAAGAGAGCGTGTTTTCACTGTGCCCCTCTAGTGTAAGCAAGAAGCTTCTTTGAGTCTTTGGATGTATAATAATGAACTACTTGATTAGTTTAAAATAGGTATTTGGTGAAGTAGTAGTAAGCAGGTACTTCACTGTAACTAATACTACTCTTTAATGAATTTTGTGTAACTTTTCATGTAAATGCCTGAGCTAGTAGTAGGGTTTGGGGTTTTTGAGGGAGCAACCTGCTGATATGGAGAAAAAGATTTAAGAGTACTCAAGCTACTGTTGCATAGGTACTGAAACCATGTCATCTTTTCCAGGTCTCCCTCTTTCTAAGTTATTTTTTTTGAGGCAAAAATAAAAAGGTCAAAATGGGGCGGAGATCTACATCATCCACCAAGAGTGGGAAGTTTATGAATCCCACAGATCAGGCGCGTAAGTATCAGTAAAAGCTTACGGAAATGGGCGGTAAGAGGGTCCTCAGGAGGCAGATGGAAAGCTTTCTCTGAGGATAAGGTCCTCACTTGTGAATCAGAACGGAGTTTCCCTAACTTGAAAAATATTTTCTCAGTTTTGGCTAGCGTAAAAACTCTCTGAGAAGGCTGCTTGCTTCATTCTGCTGTGTATTTATATACTGTGGTTGTCAGTGTTCAAAGGACTTTGTACTTAGCTGCTGGCTAAAATGCAAGCTGCTGCTTGGGACACAGTTAATCTGTCTGAGGCTAGAATTTGAGGAGCATGGCAAATTTTGCATGAGAGAGTTGGCTAACTGTTTTTCCCTTTTGGTGACATGCCAGGTGTTACCAATGCTAAGCAGATAAAAAACATCCAGACCTCATGGTGAATATGCTTTGTTTTGGATGGATACTCAAAGCCTACATATTTTCAAAGTGCATTGTCTGCTGGTAACTTCAGCTTCTGGGAAGAAATCCTTTCATGACTGCACGTAACACTGTGACTTTTCCTGCCTATTATTCTTTCTTTGTGTAGAAACACCCCTGCTTCTGGAGATGTGAAGGCTCTTCCATCTCCTTTAGTTTCTGTATAACACACATGAAATAGAAGTCTATTTCATGCTGTATTTCTCTTTCGCTGGGAAGATGAATTAAACAGTTGCAATCTTGCAGTTTTTGCAAAATGACTGAACAGTTGAGATGCAGCACTAGTCTTGATGAAGGAAAGGTTCTTCATGAATTTGTCTCAAGTTGTTATTTTCTTTCTTTTCCCCTCTTCTCTAGGGAAGGAAGCTCGGAAAAGGGAACTGAAGAAGGTAAATAAAAGAGTTCAGGAACATTTACGTGGCATTCTGCTTACTGTGTACCATGTTTGTGATTGTGGCTGATGGATAGACTACAGATGTTTGGTTGATATCCTAAGATTGGCTTTGGAGTATACTGTTCAAACAAGTAGTTTAAGAAAACAGACAGAAATCTTCTTTTGAGTAACCATATCTCATCATCTACTATTTTTTAACTTGTCATGATTACAGCTTTTTGAAACATTGTAAGAACGTAGGCATTAAAAAAAAGACAAAAAAACCCTCCAACAGATAAACCACCCCAGACTCACATACTTTTTTAATGTGTTTTACTGCATACCTTTAGACACTTATCTTGTTGATTGCATGTGGTTTTGAGTGAATGAATTCTAGAAACATTTGTAAATGGCAAGAT